ACTAAAGCTAAAGGAATAGTTAAGCATTAGACACCGATTCAGATAGACAAACAGGCAACAGCAACTCATTCCAATAAAAATACGTGCTACCAACTTATTTAAATGACGTTAGCCTCTTCAGCTTTAACGCCATGACTAATATACGATGTTAGTAAACATTAAACTCTATGCATATTTTTATATGATTAATATATCCAAAAAAATTCAAAACACCGTAGAAAAAAAATTGAATGACGGTGCTTAATTCAAGCCCTAACCAAAATGTGCTACCAAATGTTGTCAAGCGGTGCAAACAGACGAGAATTCATTTGCAAGGATAATTTATATTTGAAATTAAAATATTCGCTACAAAAATTTTGACTTCTGACGAGGGTAGGTAGCAGAAGAAATTGACTTCCCAAAATTTGAATATCAAATGATCGTAGCTTTTTTTTACGTTTCCTAATAAAAATGTCATTTGAATGGAGTCATCAAAGTTTTAATATTGAGTTGAATGTAGCTTTTGTGAAATTTGCATGAGATTGAATCAAATTTTGTGAGGGAGAAATGTTCAGAATGATGATAATAAATTGTTGAATCTACTACCTGGAAACTTGATGGTAGATTTGCTGAGATTACCTTAACAATGTTATTTTGTTTTCAAATATTGAGGTTGATATGATTTTATTTTTAGATACAAAAATATGAAGGGGGTTATGGCAATGAAAGGAACCCATCAAGACAAAACAAAATACTTGGAAAATTCCTTCTACACATTTGCTGATATTTATGATATTAATAATTGCTATAAATATAAATTTCTAAGAATATAATCCGATTTTAAAATTTTTATTTAAAAAAATAAAGCTGAGGATTTATTTATAGATGTGCTGCAACATTTTAAATTATATAATCTAGGAATTTCTTGAAAAAAATTATTATAGGCTCCTTTAGTAATTAAAATTGAGCTGCAACATATGCTTTTGAGAGTCTATCATTCAAGTCCATATCCATCAAGCAAGACATTCATAGATTTTGCCAATTTAAAAAATTAAGTTTCTGGCTTCCTTATCTTCTGAGTCGTCTCACAACGATCCTTACTTTTTCTCTTTATTAAAATATGGACGTCATTTCCAAACTAACCCTTTGAAAAATTAATTAAACTCATTTAAATTTTTTCTATATTTTAAAGACTCCAAACTATTCATAACAAGTCCACAAAGCCTAAACCTCTACTTTGATCATCATATTAATCTTTATCACATCCATAACAACCATATGATTTGCTGCTTTCCAATTTCAAGTTAGTCAAATGTAGTGAAATAACAAGTTCAGAACCATAATAATAGTTATAATCGTTGAGAAAGTCAGATGGAAAAGTAGACGACAATAATCGTATTAATAACCATTCAAAATTGATGATCAGTAAGTCATGTTCATTCAGTCAGAATTAATTCTAGCCATACCTACGAACAAAAATTGAATGTCATGAACATTATGGACTCATGCCATCTTTAAGAATGTAGATAAAGTCTATAGCGTGAGGATTATTACTTTATGATCTTTTATGATGTCCAGAATTATGGAGGGTATGAAGGTAGAAGTCTCAAAATAAAATTATTTTATGCCCGTTATTTGTGTACAAAGCCTGGCATTACTTGCTTTCTTCATAGCTGTATAGAATGTGTGCTCTATATGGATACGTGCGATATACTCATTGAGTAGGTGTTAAATATGACAAACAAAAATAAACACTTCAGCCTCAAAACATTGCTTGGATTTGGAAACAGATAAAATTCTTCATTTTAATTTATTCATGGTTTGTTTTTGATAAATTTGACGCAATATAAATTTTTGTAGGAACAAATGGAATTTCTATAGAACACTCATGGGGGAGGGGGGAAACTCCTTCGTGGAAAATTTTCTCCGTCAACATTTTTGCACAAAAAGTTTTTCAATCCTTAGTTCCTCAATTTCGATAATGTTGCAACATAATTTTTTTTCCACCAAATGGTTTTCCCCCTTTGAAAAAAATTCATAACAATAGCATTCCCACACAAGATAAAGAGCTTCATTTCTGCAGAGTAGAATTAAGTAGACGAGTTGGTGTCGTAATGTTAAATGTCAAAGTTCATACTATCTACTTAAAGACACAAGAAGACGATGTTAAAGACAAAACCAGAGTCAATGCATTATATTAATCCTCTCCATAATTACAAATAAATTGTCTTACATCCTGCCAATCGATCAATGTTCAGATTGTGTTGTTGAAGATTTTGTTGATTAATTTCTTGAAAGGATCAACATGGACAGCTTGCTTTTTGAGTTATTTATCCTCTCGACCAGTATTCTCACTTACTAAAGTCATCAATTCAACTCAGGTCTAAATAACATTCGTATTATTCACACGTTGATATTTTTTGTAAATAGGATCTCCAACTGAGAATTGTCGGTGTTGAGGCTTTTCGTAGCTTATTCAATTGCGAAAAGCTTTTCTGTGGAAAGCTACTTGATTTCACGAGTAGAGAACCTCAAGCTGATATTAGGAATAAATTACACATTAATTAATCATAAAATTAAAGGAAGTCTGAAAATAATTTTCACAAAATCCCTAAATCTTTCTAATCATTGAAAAAGTGCTTCACGTTACTTCCTTCCTCATTACTTTTAACACATTCATCGTATGCTTGTTTGAATATTAATCATTCACTCATGAGGTCTTCAAAAAAACATTTACAAATTACATCCAGCAAACATGTACGCTCGGTTCTATTTTGAGGAGAAAATTCATTAGTCTTTCTTCATTTTCTGATTCCATTGTTGCTCCTATTTATTTCTCCATGTTTTACAAGATATGAAGAGAAAGTAGAATAACATGATGTAAATACGAGTTGATGACTAATGACTTCAATGATTTTTGATTGTAATAGATAGAACTAAAGGGAAGTTAACAATGATTACAGGAGATTGATGTTTGGATACGCATTTAAATTTAGATGTTTTAAGATCTCCATTCCCATCTCTATTTGTCACAAAATTTCCTTAGAATAGTAGTGACCAGATTCAGAAGGTCAGAAGGGGGGATTTAGGGGACAAATCCCCCGACGTTAACAGAAATTCCTTCATTTTGCTAGGTGTTTTAAGAAAAAGTCATAAAAATCCTCCCTTCCTTCTGAATTTTCCATATAAAATTTTTTTGTCCCCCCTCTGCAAATTCCTGGCTACGCCCCTAGTTGTGACTCTCTCAAAGTAAGGTATTAAGTATAAAGACAATAAGTTAACCTTTGTGCTGCGATACACTAGTATGCAACACAGAAAGCTCAGGGATGCTGCAAATAATATTCAAAGCTTGAAGTGCGATGTTGCTCAAAACAAGTTTACCACCACTGACATAAAATTCTATTTCCCTGAAACTTTAACTCTCAGACAGTGAATGACCGACTAAAACTCAACAATAAATGACTGACACTTCGCACTTAAACCCAGATTTATCTCCAGCTTCAGACATCCCTTCCAAGAAGTTTTCTTTTTTAAAAGTTCCAAAATGAAAGCTTAAAGCACAAAAATACTGAATATAGCAGCTTATCTTTAATCAATTAAGTACAAACACTTATCATTGACCTACTCAATTTACTCTTGTTCTTCTCCATCTCAACTGACAAGAGCAAACATATTAATCCATCTGTTATGTGAACTAAAGCTTTCCCAAATGTAAGTTGTTTAAGCCAAATAGAAATGTCTATTAAATGATGAGACAATGGCCGACCCAACAGAGCAGTCACAAATGCTTTGAAAGGTATTGAATTAAAGATTTCTGATTGTTATTGACGTATATTGTGGATAAACAGGAAATTCATTTTCTCCTTTGTTATTGTTTTGATTGCATGTATTTGACCTACTCAGCATCTTAAATCAATTTTGAAAATTGCTGCATGCAGAGTTGTGGTTTATTAAGGCATAAAAAATATGATTTAAGGGTTTTTTGTGAGTCAGCAGTATTTTTTATGAGAGTTCATTTATGACGTCATAGGTGGGAGGGGGGGGGGGGGGGGTGGAGTGGTCAGCAAGAAAAAAAAAATAGAAATTTCTGGTTTTAGAAATCCTGATTTTAATTTGGGATGTCATTAAAGAATTGTTTGCCAAACAGGAGGAGAGTTATATCATATTTGTCAATTCCTTAAAATGGCCCAAACTCAACCCTTGTCTTGATTTGAGTTGTCACAAAATCTCAGATTCTCTCTCGGCTAAATGATGGAAGTCGTAAGTGAATGACCCTTGAATTAAAATCAGTTCTCTTTAATTTCAAGTGACATTGCCTTAATCATTTGCTACAACACTTCATTATACAATTAAGCACAGAACAGTATTCATCTCCACTTCTCATAAGTAACCATAATGTCTAATACAAACATGTTGGCTGATTAATGACATCAAACATATTTAACAGCCAACAACTCTGGTTTGTTTGTTCGGGATATAATGGAAGAAAAACATTCGACAGATATCTGGAGCAAATTCCTATCAGCTGTTGTTGCTGTTTAGACAGACATACATAAGATCATTGCTGAAATGAGGAAGCAGAAAAAAAAATCATGTCAGAGTGTTTAAAGAAAGACAATAACAAGAGATTATTTGCTGTTGATGTCTTCCGCTGTTCAAGAATTTTTGTCTCTATCGTTCGACATGAAATTTTCACGAGTCTTGGAGTGTCTGAAGGAATTCTATTTGTTTGTCGAAGCATGAAACTGAAAGGAAAATATTTTCAGTTGATTTTCATCTGATTCCTACTTATTTTCAGAGTGTATTTGTGAATCTACGTGACCCAAATATAAAATCAGCAAAATTTTAAGTAGTTTTGCTTCTCTCAAGTGCTCTTATGTATAATCATATATGAAAATGATTATTCGCCCGAGCCACACATAATGAAATACGATTTTGTTTTGGAGCTCTAAGCAATCGATCAAGATGAAGCTACCATGACTCATGAACAGATTAAAAAATCAAATAAAAGAAAATACCGATTTTTGAATTCATTATTTTCTTTTATTTTGTCTCGCATGATAACAAGCTATTGACTGGCTGTTGACCTTATCATTTTTGCCTGATAACTCAAACTTCATCTTCTACTTAATACAATTTAATCATCATATTCACAAACAATCCAATGTCGTGAGTCACATGAAAATCCCATTGACCTATAAGGTCCATTTTAACCAGTATATCTGAGACAATTTCCACTAGTTTGTCCATTTGATATCCACTCTAGTCCACTAAAGAGACTAGTCATTGGTTTTCGATTTTTATTATAGACCATCCATTGATGCGAAATCTTATCTCGCATTCCATTAATCCATACTGCTCCATTTGGATGTTGAGACAAAAATTGAGTTGTTGATTGATGAAAAACTAGTTCAAGTCCAGCACTATCAATAATAAATAAGTTCATTCCATGTCTTGAACATCTTTGTCTTCCTTCGTCATAAGTGTCGGAAGTTTCTATAATGCACATTGACTTTATGTATTCACCATCGACATATAAAGGTTTTTTGTTACGACAAGGAGACACATCCAGACCAGTTGGATATTCAGTTCTTTTATAATGTTCACAGACACCCCAGTGTTCATCATAACATGAAGCTGGCAGTGCTTGATATGGCCCATAAGTTGATGAAAATTTAAGACATTCTCCAGTTGCATTTTTATTAGCCCAAATAATATCTTCAAATAGTGGACCTTTAACAGACTGATCCAAATTAAAAACATTCCATTGACCATCACTTCTTTTTCCATTTATCCACACGACACCACCTGGATGTTCTCTTAGTAAGTATGTTGATGCATCAAAGAAGTGTGTTTCGACTATCTCATCGTCAATTATGAATGCATTCATGTTGTGTTCAGCACAGATTCTTCTAGATTCTTCATATGTGTAAGATCCACGGATCATGCACAGTGATTTTAAATATCTTGTTCCATCAAAGAGATCTTTTCTCATATGACATATTTCAGTTTTTGGTTTAACTGATTGCTTAACAGCATAATGTGATAATATTTCTTTAGGACATAATCCATATTCCAAATAATCTTCAGCAAATGATGGATTCCAAATGAAATAGATTAAACTGAATATTAAAATCAAAACTTTCATTTTATTTTGAAGCTAAAATTTTTACATAAGCAGAAACACTTAATACAGTCCCCAACAAACGAGGAAAGGAAACTGAATTTTAAATAATTTGTGCCCGAGTTATTTTTGATTATTTCAATCATGAATAGTGATTAAATTGAAGATTGGATGAGACTTAATCAATTGTTTGTAAAACTTTTCTTATCTGTCAAAAAGAAGGTCTGGAAATTCAAATTTTTGATTTGTACACTTCATTTAAAGTACTGTATAAAACCAGTGGCTTAGACACTGATTACTTACTTACTTACTGTGACTATGTTCCTTTGTGGAGCTCCGGTTACAACAAAAAGCTTTTCATCTGACTCTGTTGCTAGCTTTTCACCTAGTTTGTACAACTTCTCTGTCCGCACATTAAGCTGACATTCATTTATCACTGTTCTGCGCTAGGTAGCTTTTGGACGTCTTTTTTCCTTTGCAGATTCCAACCAAGGGCGGTGTAAAAAAACTTGTGTTTCTGTCCCAGCAATGACATTCATTAGACACTAATGTACATGCCATACTCTAGGTTTTTGTGGCTCTTTAAAAGGTATTTATTTGTGGTTTCCTTTGAAAAGTGGTTTCCACTTGATTTCAAGTATTCTTTCCACTTAGCCGACATGTGAACAACATATAAATCTGTGCTGATCGGGTTGTAGTTCTTCACTTTTCGAAAAGCACAAAGCAAGTCCCATGACATCTGTTGAGTGCAGTTTTTGGAAGGAGATATGTGATTGTTGAAAATTATCACACAATTCCATCTTTACAGATGATTTTTACTTTATTCTGTCTTGTAATGTTGAATGTTGACGTGCTCATACGCTCAACATAATATAAATTTCAATCCCCTGTCAGCAAAACATGTTACGGACTTAAATTAAATCACTCTATTTGCAAATGTATGGCAGAGTTTTCGTATTTTAAAACCATACATAAATTTTCCAAACACCACTCTGTTGACACGTTCTTTATTGTAGATTTTCATCCTACTGCTGCTCGTTTAATTGTGGCTGAAAAAAGGTTTTTATTTTGTACCATTTTTTATTTTTAAAATTTTTATGTGGTTTCTCATTTGCTACTGTATCTTCTGTAATGTGTGTTGTGAGAACTTTTCACTTAATAGCATGGAATGAATAGAGGAGAAAATATCTAGAGTTGAGAAACCTTAGCAGCTTTAAAGTTGATTGATTATGACTATATATCAAAAAGCGTAAAATTTTATTTTTGTGGTAAGAAGAAGAAACGAGGAAGGATTTTATACCAGAGTTGCGATCTGTCACAGGTCAACAAAAACAGCCCACCTGTCACAGGCCGTTACCTGTTCACAGGTCAAAATTTTTCGCCTATCACAGGTCTGACCTGTCAAAGGTTCTACCTGTCACAGGCCGTTACCTGTTCACAGGTCAAATTTTTTCGCCTGTCACAGGTCAGACCTGTCAAAGGTTCTGCCTGTAACAGGTCGTTACCTGTTCACAGGTCAATTTTTTTCGCCTGTCACAGGTCTGACCTGTCAAAGGTTCTGCCTGTAACAGGTCGTTACCTGTTCACAGGTCAATTTTTTCCACCTGTCACAGCTCTGACCTGTCGCAGGCCTCACCTGTGACAGGTCGTCACCTGTTGACAGGTAGAAAAAAATCTACCTGTCACAGGTTGACCTGTCACCTGTCACCTGTCACCTTTGACTATCGAAATTTTTTTCTTCTAGTGAAGTATAAAGATTTCATACAAAATTCATCAACTTTTTTGCTTCCTCAAGTCACGAGTTCAAATCTCACCGCAAACAACTTTCTTTTTTTGCATTTTTATGATTTGTTTTTAAACTTTTTTGATATAACATTAAGTTGTATGACAAAGTTTTCCATTTTCATATTTTATTTCTTCACTTTCTATATTTTAACATTTATTTTAAATTTTTTCCATATATTTTCATACAAATTTAAATTTTTTTGTCATACTTTAGTTTACCAAGCTGAAATCTGACACAAAGGCTCTTTTCCTAGATCTAAATGTTCTGAAATCGTAATCTTGGATTATAATTTTTTATATATTTCGACTTTTTGCGGTCTCGAATGACAAAGTCTATACTAGTTTTAATATTTTATGCCATTTTATGATCCAAGATTACGATTTTAGAACATCCAGATCTAGGAAAAGAGCCTTTGTATCAGATTTCAGCTTGTTAAAATAAAATATGTATAAAATATTGATAAAATATGACAAAAAAATTTAAATTTGTATGAAAATATATGGAAAAAATTTAAAATAAATGTTAAAATATAGAAAGTGAAGAAATAAAATATGAAAATGGAAAACTTTGTCATAAAACTTAATGTTATATCAAAAAAGTTTAAAAACAAATCATAAAAATGCAAAAAAAGAAAGTTGCTTGCGGTGAGATTTGAACTCGTGACTTGAGGAAGCAAAAAAATTGATGAATTTTGTATGAAATCTTTATACTTCACTAGAAGAAAAAAATTTCGATAGTCAAAGGTGACAGGTGACAGGTGACAGGTCAACCTGTGACAGGTAGATTTTTTTCTACCTGTCAACAGGTGACGACCTGTCACAGGTGAGGCCTGCGACAGGTCAGAGCTGTGACAGGTGGAAAAAATTGACCTGTGAACAGGTAACGACCTGTTACAGGCAGAACCTTTGACAGGTCAGACCTGTGACAGGCGAAAAAAATTGACCTGTGAACAGGTAACGACCTGTTACAGGCAGAACCTTTGACAGGTCTGACCTGTGATAGGCGAAAAAATTTGACCTGTGAACAGGTAACGACCTGTGACAGGTGATCTTTTGACAGAAACTGTCACCTTTACCTGTGACAGGTACCTGTCGTCGCAACTCTGTTTTATACTAATGAACTGGAAATATTAATTCGACGGAAGGAAGCTCTTAGATTTTTGTATAGTAAAAAAAAAGTTTTAGTAATTAGAAAGATTGAAAAGAACTTTCTCAGGAGGTTTATTACTAGTTTGAATCGTGATTTGTAGGATCAGGCTAGATTGCTCTGGACATATTAAAGCAAAGAGGTGGTCAGGGACAACCTACTTGGAACTCTCCAGTAAAGGGAGATAAATCGTGGGAAAGTTAAGGGTGCGGAACTGATCAAAATTATCAAAATCTAAGTTATCGGTTCCGCCCTCAAAGAGAAGATCTCAGTTTTTCGAGCTGGAGGCAATGTGATTCAATTAAGACAGAATCTATTGAACCATACCCTTTTGCTTCAGTTTATAGTAGGATCCGAACTACTTGCAAGCTCTGCACATTGCAATGACACGAGTACGTCATACGACCTGATGTTTCCTGCTATGTACATAGTCACAATTCGTTTGCGCAAAATGATGTAATGAAATCATCCAGATGCCAGTATATCCTTGTATACCTAGCAAAGGAGGCACATTCTATGCCAAAGACATCAATACTACACCCAACACACGAACCGAGCTTCGTAACTAGAACGATGAAATTGAAAAAGAGCTTAGAAAATTAGACATGGCCTGGGATTGAACCCAGGACCTTTGGCATGGAAAGCCTACGCTCTACCATTTAGGCCACTGATGCCTTTTAACCGCTTGAACTGAAGACCTAATGTTAATAGTGGAATTCGAACTACTTGAAATCTATGTACATTGAAAACACAAGATTGCGTCTAAAGACCTGATGTACCTGCAATGTATTTAACCACAATTTGTGTGCGCAATATGCAGAAATGAAATCATCTAGATGCTAGTATATCCAATTATGTTCCAAAAACCTCAAAATTACACTTAACACAGAAACCGAGCATCGGATTTAAAACCACTAGAATCATAGCTACCATCTAAGGAGAGCGTCTAGGACTTCTTATAACCCAGCCCCTAAGCGCTTTATATATCAATTTCTTCAAAAAAAAGAATCACAAGTCAAAGTACAATCATTAATTCAAGACAAACTTTAAAATTGCTCATTTGGAAGAAAAATGGATCTTCATGGTTTCCTGTTTGATGTCTGAAAGCTCTTTTTTTAATTAACTTTTTTTTCTGAATAAATTAAAAAGAAACTGCTCCCTTCGTTAATTATAAAAATATTTTGCTTCCTCGCGTTGTCATGAGACTTTATTAATTGATACAATCAAAATTCAATAAGTCCTTAGTAATGAAAATTTAATTTTAAAAATAATTCTTTTTCTTTCTCGTTGGTAAACTTAATGTTTATTGGTATAGGAAAGGCTTTGAGCTTTGACTCATTTAGTAGAATTATAAGGAAATTACTTAGCATGAAATAAATTGTAAACAATTAATTCTACATTCTCGTACACAAAACCATCATTCTGTGGTGTGAAGGAAAATAATTTTCCTTCGTGTGCTGCAAATTCAGGCTTTCTCTTCTCATTCACGGCTGTATGAAATATTTACACACAAAAATTCAATTACCCGTACCTCAAAAAGCATTGGAGCTTATAGCAGAGAAATTTTCATTTTCCGTTGAATGAATTTGGGGCAATCAGCCTGCAGTGTGTGAAAAATTAACTTCTTTAAAGTAAATGTCTTAGGGATAAATTATTGGAGTTACTTTATAACCATTAAAAATAAAAATAAAAGGTGCGAACTTTATACATTTTTCATTGACTGCTTTACGACTTATTAAATCACCTGAACGGAAGTAAAATATAAAATTTCACTCACTATATTGCGTGCTTTATTTTTGGAAGATGACAGAGGTGTTGGAAGGAAGGGAGATGGAGGGGCAAAGAAGCAACTGCTGGGACTCACACCTGAGACTCAAATGAACTCTAATCTATAAATAATTAAAACTTAGCAGAGGTCGAAGCCGACATGAGTTCGCTCCGGTTCGCTAAAAAACCGATTCAAATTTGAATAGATTTTTTTCTGCTGCCACTTGTGAAGTACAACATTTTATACAAATTTACCGGTTATCGAATCGGTTTTTTAGCGAACCAGAGCGAACTCATGTCGGCTTCGACCTCTGAAACTTAGTATTAGTAAAAGACACAGTTGGCTTAAAAGTTTGTCATTTCCTGACTACGCCCCTGATACACACTCAAAATAGAAGATTTTACAACTAGGCACTTTGCTATAAAAAATTTAATGAGCTGACAAAAAAAATTGTCGTGTGCGATTTTGAAAGACAAAAAAAAATCC